ACTCGGCACTTTTCAGGATCTGTCCATATTTTTTAGATGACGTATTGTCACTATTTGCACTACTTACATTGTTCGGACTGTTGTCCTCATCTTTGTTGCTATATTCACAACGTTTTGGCCGTTGTACGCTCCGGCCTTGTTCAGGATCAGTCTATATTTCTGAGATGACGTATTGCATCTATTTGCACTACTTACATTATTCGGGCTGTTGTCCTCATCTTCGTTGTTATATTCACGACGCTTCGACCGTTGTACGCTCTGGCCTTTTCAGGATCTATCTTATCTCTGAGTTGACGTTTTTAAATATCTACACTATTTCCATTGTTCGAACTGTTTTCGTCATCTTTGTTGCTATATTCACATCGTTTCGACCGTTGTACGCTCCGACCTTCGTCAGGATCTGTCTATATTTCTGAGATGAGGTATTATAAGTAGACCTCTTCTGTTCTTCATTATTCTGAGGGTCAACTCCTGCGCTGTCCCTGTCAATGCTTGAATTCCGCAGTCTACCTTTTCACAGTTTCCAGGGAGGGGAGACCTCAGCAAGTGTCCGTACGATGTTCTCATGGATTTCCTGGAGTAACATATCTTTTTTTGCATGCAGATTTTTAATGACTGTTCTGGCCTCTTTTTTGACCACTTTGTTGCCCAAATCTCACTTTTGCACGGGCCTCACCTGCATAGAAATCATGATAGAAATATGAATTAGTTGTTGAAGAGGTGCTTGTGTGTCGCCACAACAAATATGTTTAGCTCTGTCTTTATTTTCTACGGAAATAAACCAAGTGATCGGAAATTATCAACGTTGAAAAAATACATAGAATTGCCGGGGGACGCGAAAAATTCAATAGAAATTTAGTTAAAATAAATAAAATACGATAGCAAAAAACTTATAGAAGATAAGATAGCCACCCGTCAAAAATTATTTTTTAAGCCGACCCGTAAATTCGAATGAGGAAAGAATGATTGAAAAATATAACATTTACAGGACAATATCGAAGGCGGAGGGAAAGAACGAGTTATCTACCTAACGGATTAGCAGGAATATTTACGGAAAAATATATATAAAAAAGTGTCAAAGTTTACTTATCGTTACGACGGACAGCAACTTGTGGAAAGACATTTTTTTTTTTAAAAACATTTCACCCCAAGCAAGGCGGGAAGCCACTAGGACGCAAGGGGTTACAGAAAATTTAGAGCAAGATCAGATAGGAGTGATAGAAGAAAGACTGAGGAGGAGGGTAATGGATAGATCAAGGCAACTGGAGATGTCGATTGACATTACACTTGACACTTGAATAGCTGGAGACATGATCGGAAATTAAGCCTAAGACATTCGCCCTGACAATTTTTGTCTGATTTCCCCTTTTTGATAAAAGATAGCTTTTCTTTGGTTTGTTTTACGGCATATCAGCTACAATGAGTTATTAATGGAGACACAAGTTTTAGTGATGGTAATAGTTTTTTTTTTCCTGCAAAAATATATTGCTAGTATTAGGTTGGTGCAAAAATAATAACGTAATAATGTCGTTTTTTGACGTATTTTTTAACGTCAAAAACGACATTAATACGTCATTATTTTTGCACCAACCTTATGGTACATTTTTCTCAAAAATATATTGCTGGTAATAGTTTTTCTACAAAATTTAATTGCTGGTAATAATTTTGCTTTAAAATTTTATTGCTGGTAATAATCTATTACAAAAAATGTATTGCTGGTATTAAAACCTATTTTTGCAATTTCATAGTGTTTTGACCGCACTTTGGGGGGGGGGTTAAAGATTTGCAAATAGCTGGGATCATAACAGGTGCTTTTTTTTTTTTTTCAAAATGTACTGCTGCTAATATTTGTTCCCCAAAATGTTTGCTTGTAATATTTTTTTTTAAAAAAATGTATAGCTAGTAATAATCTATTGCTGGTAAATAAATTTTTCCTTAAAAAATTCATTGCTAGAAATAATTTTGACAAAAAAAAGGATCGATGATATTAAAACCGATTTTCACAGTTTCGTCCCCAGTTTCAGTGGGTCAACTATTTGTCCATAGCTAGGACCCTAACAGGTGCTACCACTCTAAGTCAGGGTGAACCTGGGAACACCAGCAATTAAGAGGTGGTTCCACGCTCCTCAAAGCCCCCTGATCAGAGGCCTTGCCGCTGAATGTAGTTTATCGTCTTACCCAGGACGCGGGTGTAGTTTATCGTCTTACCCAGGACGCGGAAGTAGTTTATCGTCATACAGAGGACGCTAAAATATTGGTTTTGTTGAATGATTGATTTGTTTTCTATGTGGATTCATACATAATCAGAATTTGAAAGAACAAACAAGAACATATAACGTGGATATAAAGTGAGGGATCAATTCTATAATACAGTCAATTATAAACGGTTCCCTCACTTTGTGGCCACGGTAGTTTCTATACAATTATATTCCAGAGAATAGAAATAAATCTAAAGGACATGCCTGTGTAGCTAATCAGTATTTCATTGATTGATTCATTTTCTACGGCTTATCAACAAACAAGAAATTGTAATGTGGATATAAAGTGGGGGACCAATTCTAAATTAAATCAATATATAAACTGAACCCTCACTTTGTAGCCATGATAATTTCTATGCATTTATATTCCAGAGAATGGAAATAAATCTAAAAGACATGCTTTTGTAGCTAATCAGTATTTCATTGATTGATGGATTCGTCTTCTGCTGCTTAACAACAATAAAGAATTTATAATGTGGATATAAATTGGGGGACAAATTCTATATTAAAATTAATATATAAAATGATCCCTCACATTGTGACCATGGTGGTTTCTATACATCTATATTCTAGAGAATGTAAATAAATCTAAAAGACATGCCTGCGTAGCTAATCAGTATTTCATTGACTGATTGATTCGCTTTCTGCGACTAATCAACAAACAAGAAATTGTAATGTGTATATAAAGTAGGGGGCCAATTCTTCATTAAAATCAATATATAAACTGACCCCTCACTTTGTGGCCTTGATAGTTTCTATACATTTATATTCCACAGAATGTAAATAAATCTAAATGACTTACACTTTCAGTGGTACCCCAACTGTTTAAATTTCAGCGTGCTACTAGGGCGGCATCTCAGTCCCACCCTTTCACTGTCGAAACAGTTAAATGTAACCGCCTCTTCTACTCCAACAGCTTCTTCACTCGCACTTCCCGACAGTGAAACTCCCTTTCTATTCGTGCTTCCCCGATGGCTAAAAATCTTCTAATATTCAAATGTAATGTCAATCAACATCTTCTGATGCCTTGACCCTGATCCCCATCCTTCTCTGTATCCTTTCTTCAAGCACCCCCTCTTTACTCTTGCACTCACTCACTGTAGCCCCTTGTATGCTCGTGGCACTCCCGCCTTAGTTCAGGTAAAATGCTTAAAATAAAAAGACATACCTGTTTAGTTAATCATTATTTGATTGATTGATTGATTATTTTTACAGCTTATCAACAAACAAGAAATTATAATGTGGATATAAAGGGGGTGATCAATTCTACATAACTATCACTATATAAACTGATCCCTCGTTTTATGGCCACCATAGTTTCTATACATTTATATTCCAGAGAATGTAAATAAATCTAAAAGAGATGCCTGTGTGTCTAACCAGTATTTCATTGATTGATTCGATTTCTATGGCTTATCAACAAACAAGAAATTATAATGTGGATATAAAGTGGGGGACCAATTCTATATTTAAATCAATATATAAAATGATCCCTCATTTTGTGGCCACGGTAGCTTCTATACCTTTCTGCTACAGAGAAGGTAAATAAATCTAAGTCCATGCCTCTGTAGCTAATCAGTATTTCATTGACTGATTGATTCGTTTTCTGCGGCTGATCAAGAAACAAGAAATTATAATGTGGATATAAAGTGGGTGATCAATTCTACATAACTATCACCATACAAACTGATCCCTCACTTTGTGGCCACTGCAGTTTCTATACATTTATATTCCAGAGAATGTAAATAAATCTAAAAGACATGCCTGTGTAGCTAATCAGTATTTCATTGATTGAGTGATTCATTTTCTAAGGCTTATCTACAAACAAGAAATTATAATGTGGATATAAAGTGAGGGACTAATTCTGTATTAAAATCAATATATAAAGTGACCCTTCACTTTGTGGCCTCTGTAGTTTTTATACATTTATATACCAGAGAATGTAAATAAATCTACAAGACTATATATAAATATATTTGCCTGTGTAGCAAATCAGTATTTCATTGATTGATTGATTGATTTTCTGCAGCTTAACAAGAAACAAGAAATTATAATATGGATATAAAGTGGGGGACCAATTCTATATTAAAATTAATATATAAACTGTTCCCTCACTTTGTGACCAAAGTTGTTTTTATACATTCATATTCCTGAGAATGTAAATAAATCTAAAAGACATATGCCTGTGTAGCTAATCAGTATTTCATTGATTGATGGATTTGATTTCGCTAGCATATCCACCCTTTGCAGGTTATTTAAAGATAGAAAATTCCTTTAGATTGTAAGGATTTTTTTGAGATAATGAAGATTTAGCGACACAACTTTTACTAATTAACCCATAGCTGGGAGGAGAAGAGCTGGAATCATAGCTTTTGCGTAAGTGAAAATAACGAACGGAACTGGAATTGTAACTCAGCCCACCGATTAACAATTCCAAGATATCATTAACTGCACCACCTGCACACCCAACATTATAACAACTGGTATTCCCATCTAGGGACTGAACAGGCTCGCCATGTGTTAACGTCTGTGATCGTACAAGAAACTGTGTTTCAAAGTGATATTGCCGTAATGCCTTCACACTTGCTGGCCATCTAAGCTTACTAAAACCCGATATTGACAATCGGTTACCCATCTAGGTACTGAAGAGGATGGACGTTGCTTAACTTCAGTGATCGTATGGAAGCTGGTGTTTGAACTCGATATGATCGTAGACGGTTTATACCAGCCGCACATTCAAGCTTACAGAACTCGGTATTCCCAAGCGGTCACCCATCAATTTACTAACTATGCTCGACGATGCTTAACTTCAATGATCGCACGACAATCGGTGTTTCAACGTGCTGTGTTCATAACCTTTTTACACCAGCCGCACATTCAAGTTTACAGAACCCGGTATTCGCAAGCGGGCATCCATCTTGTCCAGACCAGCCTCAACGTTGCTTTGTTTCGGTGTTCGTACGAGAACCGCTGTTTGAACGTTATACGGCCATAAGCCCTTTATACACGCTGCATAGCCAAGCTTAAAATATACCAGGCGCGTTCAAGCTTAAGGAACTGGGTATTCTCATGCGGCCACCCATCTTGCCACTGACCAGCCTCGACGTTGCTTTACTTCGGTGTTCCTAAGAGAACCATTGTTTGAACGTGATATGGCTCTAAGCCCTTTTTGCACCTGCTGTATAGACAATCTTAAATATACCAGCCGCACATTCTTGTTTATAGAACCCGGTATTCTCAAGCGGGCATCCATCTTGGCACTGAGCAGCCTCGACGTTGCTTTACTTCGGTGTTCGTACGAAAACTGCTATTTGAACACGATATGGACGTAATCCCTTTATACCTGCTGCATGGCCAAGTTTAAAATATACCAGACGCACATTCAAGCTTGAGAAAACCGATATTCCCATGCGGCCACCCATCTTGCCACTGACCAGCCTCGACGTTGCTTTACTTCGGTGTTCATAAGAGAACCATTGAACGTGATATGGTTCTAAGCCCTTTTTGCACCTGCTGTATAGACAATCTTAAATATACCAGCCGCACATTCTTGTTTATAGAACCCGGTATTCCCAAGCGGCCATCCATCTTGGCACTGACTAGCTTCGTCGTTGCTTTAATTCCCTGATCATACGGGAACCGATGATTCCATATCATACGGGCGTAAGCTATCTAGTCTCTTGATTTTGTTTGCCTTGATTCGTCGTCCGCTTCTTTGAATGTTCCTTTTGCTGACTTCCATCCATTTCTTCTTCTGACATTTGTTGTCTGGTCCTTTCTTCATTTTCTTGGAGTTCCTGTCATTTTCCTTTCTTTGTCGTTTATCTTATGTCGCTAACATGGTGTTCTTCGATAGTGTTTCCTGGTACGATTTCCAGTTCCCTCAGAACCGTTTATCCGTAAATGCCACGTAGGTTGCCTTACTTTTATCGCGTAGGTTAGTGTTCGAGCTTGCATAAAAGCCCGAACTCTGAACGTACACCAGTTTCTGCTTCCATATCACTCCACACTCCTCACATGTTCTTTCTAGATACAGGAGTCAAAGGTTAGCTGCGACATTAGGTGTTTGGCAGAGGTCAAGAGTCACAAACGTGAATAAGAGTATTAACTGATATTAAATATCTCCTAAGCATGGAGCGGAAGTAATGAGCACAATCGATTCACAATAAAAACAGATTCAGTTCAAAATTTATTTGGATAGACGGTTCAATTGAAATTTCCAATATTACGTATTCTAAGACAGACACCTGGATAAAATTGTAAGATAAAAAGAAAATAAGAAATAATACATTAAAAAAAAAAAAACGATTAAAAATTTTGGAAGCACTTCACATCAAAGAACAGCAATCCATCATAACTAAAAAAAACTAATTCAGTCTCTTCACTATGTTAGAATGTCTTTGAACTGTCAGGTAATATAAGTCGCGTGGTAATTTGTTTATATATCAACTTACGAAGCCGTCGTTCGTTGAAATGAACTGTTGTAGTGAATCGCGATATGCATATTAATCTTTTTGTTCTCCGTGTGAAGATACCAAGCCAAATATGAAGAGTTATGATAAAAGATGAGGTCAATCTCGGAATTAACACATTTTTCCTCGAAACAAAACAAAGGCAATGAGGAATTAGAAAATTGTCACCGTTAATTACAAAGACTGCTATGCTTCCTCGCTTTTTAAAGAGTTTTATTTTCACACGTACTTGGAAAATTAAATCATGAGGGACAATTTAATTTTAGCAAAAAGTCAAATCCAGTGGCTGCATTTTGGAGAACATTGAGTTAGCATCAAAATTTGCATCAATAAACGGGGTTCAAATTCAGCTCACAAAAGGACGGTACGCTTAAAATCTACAATTAAAATGCCGATCTCCCGCTGCTGGTTCCATTAAATTGACCCTGTTGTGAAAGAAAACATAGATTTCGGACAGACTGGGAGATTATACTAGTGTAAGCCAACCGTGGGACATGTAATAGCGAAATTAGCCTATACAGCGCTGTTCGATAAAAGTGACTCACCTGATTTGTTTTACTTAAAAAAATTTTTCATATTGTTTCTGGGGTCAAACTAATTTTTAATCTGACTAATATAAAGACTCCTTCTTCACCACCTACTAAAAAAGTTTAATCACCCTAAGGTATTCTATTGAAAATTATAACTTTGGATATAAATGAGATTTAGGGAAAAACTTTGTGCAAAAAAAGTGACTCACTTATTTCCTGCAACTAGTAATCAATAGAAACATAACCAAACAGCTTTAAATAAAGAATAATAGAGGTATAATTTATTAATAATAGGTAATATAGTTCTAAATATCTAATAATCTATGGGTCCTTCTTTATTTTGAATAACCTTTCCAGCCCTTTTTGGCATTAATTTGATTAGGTTTTGGCAAATCTCATCTCCAAGCATTGAATACCATTCGGATATGAATTCACAATCAAATCCTCTTTGTTGCTCAACTGCTTTCTCGAGAGCCTGTACTTTATATTGTTCCATAAGTTTTCTATGAGGTTAAGGTCAGGAGATTGGGGCGGCCATGTCATAACACTCACCTGCTTCTCATCAAAGTATTCCTCCATCAATTGTGACTTGTGACAGGGAGCATTATCCTGCATAAAAATGAGCTTGGTGGGGTCGATTTGCACCCTTTCAGCAGAAGGGAGAAGACAAGACTCTAAAATTCTCTTGTACTGTTTGCTACTAAGGGTCTTTTCAATAGGTTTTAAGAAACCAGTTCCATGAAAAGAAAAGCATCCCCAGAACATAATATTGAACGGATGCTTGACAGTACTTACTGCTAAATTCAAAGAGAATTCAAAGCTTCTTCAGATATTAGAACGCTTATCCTTTGAATTTAGCTCAACTTTCGTTACATCGGAGAAGAGAACATTAGTAAAAAAAAAAAAAATCAGGTGAGTCACTTTTATTGAACAACACAGTATTTTTAATAAGAAGAAAATATTGAAGTAACAGTAAATATTGGTAGATACTAAAATACTTACTGGCAAATAATGTCAGTTAATATTTCAATCAGTTCTTTGTTCAGGAAAAGGTAATTACTGTTCGTTTCTAACCAACTCAATGAGATTTTATTTGAATCAGGGATAGACAGATATTAGTCGTTTAGATTTCAATATCTAATAATGTATATTTGAAGCTTTCTTCCGCCATTAATTTACGCAAAATCTCCAGGTAGGTTAAGCGTTGTTTTCAGCTTTTCTTCTATCTTCAATCACCTAAAACTTGTTCCACCATCAAATTTACGTAAGCACTCTATGAAGGTTATGCGATGTTTTCCTCTTTTCCACTTGCATTCAATCATCTAAACATTGTTCAGCCATCCGTTTTTACTCAATCTCTCTCGGTAGATAATGCGTTGTTTTCCCTTCTCCCTCTTGTCTTCAATCTCCTAAACCTTGTTCTGCCATCCATTTACTCAATCTCTCTAGGTAGGTTATGCGTTGTTTTCCTCTGTCCCTCTTGCCTTCAATCTCCTAAAACTTGTTCCGCCATCCATTTACTCAATCTCTCTAGGTAGGTTATGCGTTGTTTTCCTCTGTCCCTCTTGCCTTCAATCTCCTAAACCTTGTTCCGCCATCAATTTACTCAATCTCTCTAGGTAGGTTATGCGTTGTTTTCTCTCCCTCTTGCCTTCAATCTCCTAAACCTTGTTCCGCCATCCATTTACTCAATCTCTCTAGGTAGGTTGTGCGTTGTTTTCCTCTGTCCCTCTTGCCTTCAATCTCCTAAACCTTGTTCCGCCATCCATTTTCCTCAATCTCTCTAGTAGGTTTGTATTGTTTCCTCTGTCCCTCTCAGTCTCTCTCCTAAACCTTGTTCCGCCATCCATTTTATCTCTCTCTAAACTTGTTTTCCTCTGTCCATTTTCAATCTCTAAACTTGTTCCGCCATCCATTTTACTCAATTTCTCTAGGTAGGTTATGCGTTGTTTTCCTCTGTCCATCTTGCCTTCAATCTCCTAAACCTTGTTCCGCCATCCATTTACTCAATCTCTCTAGGTAGGTTATGCGTTGTTTTCCTCTGTCCCTCTTGCCTTCAATCTCCTAAACCTTGTTCCGCCATCCATTTTACTCAATCTCTCTAGGTAGGTTATGCGTTGTTTTCCTCTGTCCCTCTTGCCTTCAATCTCCTAAACCTTGTTCCGCCATCCATTTACTCCAATCTCTCTAGGTAGGTTATGCGCGTTTTTTGTCCCTCTTGTCCCCTAAACTTGTTCCTTCCATTTATCTCTCTCTAAACCTTCTTGTTCCTCCCCTAAACCTTTGTTCCATCCATTTACTCAATCTCTCTAGGTAGGTTATGCGTTGTTTTCCTCTGTCCCTCTTGCCTTCAATCTCCTAAACCTTGTTCCGCCATCCATTTACTCAATCTCTCTAGGTAGGTTATGCGTTGTTTTCCTCTGTCCCTCTTGCCTTCAATCTCCTAAACCTTGTTCCGCCATCCATTTACTCAATCTCTCTAGGTAGGTTATGCGTTGTTTTCCTCTGTCCCTCTTGTCTTCAATCTCCTAAACCTTGTTCCGCCATCCATTTACTCAATCTCTCTAGGTAGGTTATGCGTTGTTTTCCTCTGTCCATCTTGCCTTCAATCTCCTAAACCTTGTTCCGCCAACCATTTACTCAATCTCTCTAGGTAGGTTATGCGTTGTTTTCCTCTGTCCCTCTTGCCTTCAATCTCCCTAAACCTTGTTCCGTCATCCATTTACTCAATCTCTCTAGGTAGGTTATGCGTTGTTTTTCTCTGTCCCTCTTGCCTTCAATCTCCTAAACCTTGTTCCATATCCATTTACTCAATCTCTCTAGGTAGGTTGTGCGTTGTTTTCCTCT